GGAAAGAGAAACTTTTCTCTATCACAAAATAGCCTAGTGTTTGGGGTACTCGCATGGGATATTGGAGACCTGTTTACATATCCCCACTTTGACTGATTTGACACAGGGAGATGAACCCATGCCTCCCACTGCACATGAAAATGCCCAAGTTACTAGATTCTTGCGTTCTCCAAGATCTAATGCCCAAGTTACTAGATTTTAGGGACAGGACACTCCATTTCTCCAGTTTGAAATTACTGCATTTTGTATAAAATAATCATTGGAGCCGGGGTTGGATTCTGCATTTCCCATTCCCAATATGAATGACTCTAGAGTCACTCTCTTTCACTTTCTCTCATTCCATGGTGCAATGAATACTTAATTGGAGCCACTGAAGTCTTTTTGTGTCTTTAGCTCATAGCATCTCGATGCTTCCAGATACCAGATAATCTACAGTGTCTAGACCTGGGGCTCCTCTGCAGTCAGTTTCCCTTTCCATACATCTCCTCCCAAACATTCCAGGTTTCCCACGTGAGGCCTACACTGTTAGCTACCTATTGCATTACCCTTACAGATCCTGCTGCCCTCTCTTCCCTTCCCACCAACCAGAGATTCTCACATCCAGAAAACACCCTACCTAGTACTAGCATAGCAACATTTCTGTTTCTAGTATCTGCAGGCAAACACCGCATCTTCGTGGGAAGGCAAGGAGAAGCTCAAGGGAGCTGTAAGTGTAAGGTGAATGTGACCGGAGGGGAATGTCAGGGAACTTGGCACATAGTCTGGGAAGGTCTATCAGACTAGAGACAACATATAATTTGTCTTAAAGCTCCTGGCTATCGCCTGTAGACACAGACATACTTCAGTGCATCGAGTTAGAGTCCATTCAAGTTTGGAAAAAAATCTGCTATAGCCATAAAAGCTAGAAACTAAATTTGTCTTTAGAATGAAAGCTGATATTTTGGAGCTCAGTGCTGTGGGGTAGATTCTGGGGCAGTTTTGTTGTCCTAATGGCTGACCATGAACACTTTTAATTCTTTTAATTCTTACTGTAATCGTGCTAGGGAAGGGTGAAGTTCACAAAGTGCTAAGTTTTCCTTGGATTTTCAAAACAGATGTGACTTCACAAACCATTCTCACACTAACTGGAATCCATGTTTTCCCTCAAGTGTGATTAAATTCAAACAAGCATATGTTTCTAACCAAAGAGAACCTTGTGTTACATGTGACACACAGGTGAACTATTCTGTTTCCCCCACCCAAGTTTAGAATGGATGAGAGGGTATGGTAGGGCATATGGCCTGTGTAGCTGACCTTTCTTTTATTTTTGTCATTAGGAGTGCTTTCTCCCTATACCACCTTGTTTTTTCAGAGTCCCTGTTTTCCAGTCTGTCCTTGTTGTGTACCGTTTTTCACCCTGCTTTTATCCCCCATATGCCCCCCCCATCATTGTTCTTTTTTTCTGTTTTTGGAAACATGAACCTAAAAATGTTCAATTAATGCATCAGTGCAGAAGTCGATGTGAAATTAAGCAAAATGAGTTCTGCCATCCCTGCTGAGTGCTGATATGTGAAGAACATCATGATGTTTTCTAGTTAGCAATTATTTGGGAGGAATTGTCCATTCATTCTACATTTGACTGAAATAAACCTTCCTTCCATTGCTCCAGGAAAAAAGACAAAGACTGAGAAGGACGATAAATTCAAACAAATTAAGGTAAGAGCTTGATGTTTGACAGCGTACGAAACTGTAATGCATGAGAGTAATTATGTTATGCCTTTTTATGTTCACTCTGTAATAATATCAGTACATTCAGTTCCTTTGCTTCGCTTGTGGTTTCACTGAATTACGCAGCTAGCATGACAAACACTGCATTTTTTAGTGTGGAGCCTGTTACAATTGTGACTGCTGTCATCATAGCTGACACAACCATCATATTGCAATAACTGGATATTGGGAAACTTGACATCCTGTAGATATATATAGCAAGTGTTAGTTTGCATTACTAGAAATAAAATAATTATGTAGGGATTGATCTTGGAAAACAGGAATGCTTCAACTAATTACTTTGTGATGCTTGTAGCGGAAATTGGTCTGCATTTAGGGAGGAATTGAAATCCTGGAGTTGTAATGTGTGCACTCATGTTTTCTGAGACAGAATGACTCTTGTACAGCTCTGAAATGAGCACAGCACTGCTGCCAGTATATGCTGTGTTTCTGAGTATGCAAATGCTTGCTATTACTACCATGTGTAGTCCTTCCTAGCTTGAGTAGCTTTATTGAGCTGTTAGTGACTGTCTGATATACTCAATAATAAGTAATCGGGGGAGGGGGACAACACTTGAAAGTAAGAGTTTACAGTCTCAAATCAGCAGCAGAAAATGGGCCAAATCTTACAGCCTAGTTACTCAGGCATAGCAGTAATTTCAGTTAGTAGTCAAAGGTTGAAAAGTGACAAACCACTGCTCCTTATAAAGTATGTTTTAACATTGCCTAGTACTAAGCAAATCTTCACTTTCCTGCCACTCACCTATTACAGTGGAACCAAATTCAGTCCTGATGTAACTCAGTTAAGCTGCTGTGGGATTCTTTGGGAATTGTGTCTGCTTACACTAGAGGATAATTTAGCCCTGGATGTTCTGAAGTCAGGCAGAATTTGTTTTATACTGTAAAGGAGGATGTGTCCTGGCACTTCCCTTAAATATACTAAGATTTTTTAGCAGGAGGAACTGCAGACATGTGTTAAGCAACCCACTTAGTGGGCCACACATGAGGGACCTGGAAAGGACTGATGCAGGATGGATGCTGAGATCCTTTCTGAAAAGACACCTGTATTGAAATTTGACTTCAGGAGAGAACTCCCCCAGTTTATTCTGTAGTTGGATTCTACACAGCTGGACAATGGCTTGTCAGTAAAGAATGTAGCAGTTGCTGGCATCATTGTTTCAGTTAGTACATAATTATGCTTTAAAATAAGACAACCAAGTAGTATTTGTTTTAGGTTTGTTTTGAAACAACACCATTTAACTGTGTTCTCCAGTTTACACAGCCACCCATATTCATTCTAATGTAAGTTCCAAGCATAACTGGAGGAGAGATGTACACGCCAGCAAAGAAACATATTTGTGCCCATGCTTCTCTGTCCGACTAGAGCAGCAGCTGGTGTCCTTTAAGACCAGCAGCTGGCAGACTGTCTGCAATTACACATTGCCTTCCCCTTCCCCCACTCACTTCCTTTACAATCAAAACATTCAATAAATAAAAGCTGTAGCTGTTTTTGGATGCCCCTCCCTTACTGAGAAGGGAGCAGTCCTGCAAATGCTCGTTACCACAGGCGTTCTGTTGAAGTCAGAGATTATTACTCATGGCACTGTGCCTGGTAGCAAATGTTTGAAGGAGTAGGCCACAGTACTTTTAAGCAACATCCTCCTGGAACTCTGGCGCTGTAATCGGATATGCTGCTGGGTAACGCTGTAAAAAGTAAGCTATTTCTCCATGCTTCCAGCACACCTCCCTGAACACCAAGGAGTTTAGCATTCCCCTGTCACTAGTTATA